CGCCGCTGTGGAAATACCGGGCCTATGGCCACTAGGTGTTACTGCAGTTGAGTTGCGTGGATCTGTGACGGAAGGAAAGAATCCGATTGACATGTTGAATTAGATTTTGCTTTTTAATTCCATGGCGACCGACATAAAAAAATAAGCAGGGTCCATTGACTCCGTCTTGCGGGGACCAGGGCTTATTGTGTCCCCTTTTGGTTGTGCTCTAACTTTCCAAGGGCCTTTCTTGGCAGTCGCGCTCAGCTGGTCACCCAGCCCTGGAGGGTCTCGTGGCCCCCAGCTGTCTCTCTGAGAGATGTGTGTAGGTTCCTTCTCTCTGGTCACATGTTGTCTGCAATTGTATTAAAAAGTGTTTGATGGAATGTATTTCATGAGAGCACATTTTAAGTATTTTTAATTACATTGAATTTGCCAATTGAAACTCCCGAAGTCCTTCACAAACACTCTTCTCCTGGGAAGTGTGGTGGACAGTTGTCCCCAGACCAGGCCAGAGGACACACAGGGCCTCTCCACCCAGCCTCTGGGTTTTATCTTTTTTTGGCCAACAGCTCTGTGCGCATCTCCTTACCACTGTTTGCTTATTTTTGTGTGTGGTAAAATCAGTCTAAAGATTCAAATACAGTAAATACATTGTTACGTACCCTACGAATCCAGTTTGTAATGAATGATGAAAGGGCTGTAGAATGGGAAAGCAGGTTGGCTTGGACCACGTGACTCCATTTTTTTTTTTTACGCGCTGGACAGGCAGACCATGAGGCCGAGGTCTCTTCTGAAACTGGCTCCAGGAGGGGCGGTGGACAGATGGGCAGTGTGGGCGCCGCCTGGGGCCTTCTCAGAGATGTGGACTCTCCGGCCCGGGCCCAGTAGTTGGACAGGACTCTGCAGTTTAACAAGAGCCCCAGGGGTTAAAAGGGTGGGGGACCACTGATAAAGCCCAACACTCTGACGCAGGTGTTCCTGAGAGTCTGGGGGACACGGGCATCGGGCCTGCTGTCACTGCCTCACCGTTGTGACTCTGAGAAGAATCAAAGTAATGGCTGTGGTGACCCCTTCACAGAACCTCCCTCCCTCGATTACTCCCTTCCTAAGACTTTCCGATCCTTTTAGTTCTTTTCTTGTCCTTACGAATTATTTTTATTGCTTATTCTAATCTTGATGACATGTTTTTCTTAGACACAGTTTTCTTGAACGTTTTTTCACTGCCTGCCTACAAAGTGGCCCCGTGTTATTTCTTTTCCACAGTGGTCAGAAAACATGTGCGGTGAGATGTAAACCCTCTGAAATTCATCATCGAATTATGTACATTATGACCCAGCACACGGTCTGCCTGGGTGACCGCTCTGTGTGCCTGGAAAACAAGTGTGTCTTTAGCAGTTGTCGGGGGCAGTGTTCCGTGGAGTTTCATTAGGTTTATCTGGTTGGTTGTGTCGTTTAGGTCATCTATATTCACTGTGGCTTTGTCGTACTTGTTCTGCTGAGTATACCTGACTCCAGGGACAGCCTTGTTCTGAGTTCCTGGGGGCCTGGGCTCCAACATTCTAAGTGTGGGGGACACGACCCAGCCCCTGAGAGCTTTCGCAGGCAACACTGCCGCCGTTCTTGTGATGTTTCCCCCCCGCACCTGAGGGATTTCCCCGGGAAACGCAGGAGGTGCGGAGTCACCAGGCCCTGCGCCGCGTGCTGCCACCTGACGAAGATGACGCGGCAGGCACAGCGAACGTTTGAAACGTGGCAGTGAGGGCCAGCTGCATTTTGCAAGGGATGATAACTTTATATTATGTAAAAAGATAATTTTGACATCTTTTTGAGATAGCTATTATCTTTATTCCCATTTTACTGATAAGGAAACTGAGACTTATGGAGATTAAGTGTAATTTTTTTAAGGACCCAGAGTTCTGTCTGAGGTCTGTTTGATTCCATAGACTGTGCTTTGATACATGGCAGCAGCCTCCATCATAGCTTCATGTGGAGAACATACATGCACACACAGGCACACAAACACATGCAGACACAGGCACAACACACCAAACACATACATGCACACACAAAACACACATGCACACCCGCTCCCACACGCACGACCAGACACACACCCTCCCCACCTCCAGGAAGTGCGGCCTGAGCGCGGCTGGCCGCTGGTTCAAAAGCCCATTCATCAGGTCGTGCTGGACGCGGCTGGAACATGAATGAATGACAGCAGTGTGTGAGAACAGCCCCGGAGAAGAAAGTGCACAAATCCCCTGAAAAACAGCTCCCAGAGAGGCACATCTGTGTCGATTTACAAACACAGAGAAGCGTAGAAACACCATGGCCACGGAGCCCCTGCCCTGGGAGCAGAGGCACCACATCCTGTGAGGCCACGAGGCGGGGGTGCAAGTCCCCGTGAACAGTGGCCACAGATGCCAGCCAGGCAGGGGGAATGGGGGCGGGGACACATGGTGTGTCTCCTGCCAGCTGGGGGATGGGCTCAGGAAGGAAGCGCAGGGCCAGCTCCAGCGCTGCGAGTGGGACACGCCTGGCCCTCCCCTCGCAGGTGCCCGGGGCAGCGCCTGGCACGCAGGGGGCCGCCCAGGTGGCTGGTTCCCAGCCTCGGCCCACTCCTCACGATGGCCCTCCAACCGACTGAACCACACTGCCCAGGGCTCCTTTTTTTTTCACTTTTAAAAGAATTTATTGGTGTGACATTGGTTAATAAAATTATATAGATTTTTCTTCTGTTTTGCTCTCACTCTTTCCATCTCTTCAGCCCAGCTGGAATGCCTTCCCTGGAAAAGTCCTGAAGGATCATAGACCTCGAGGCGGGAATGAGCAGAAGCCGCCTTTCTGCCCAGTGGGAGCTGCTCCCGCGCTTCGGTCTAGCATCGCATGTGTTCCCTGGTGCGCCCGGAGCCAGGCGGCCTTGATGGGCAGAGTGTGGTGCGGATGCGGCCTCCATTCCCGGTCCGGGCAGGGTGGTCCGGGCAGGACTGGGGACCAGGCCCTCGGAGGCCCCTCCAACCGGGCCTGACCTGCTGGTGGGAACTCAGGAGGCACGAGGCAGTGAGGTCCCCGGACTACGTGGCTCCTTTTAAGGGGACCGCCGCGCGGGTGCGAGTGCTGGGGCGGGGCGGGGCTGCTGGGTCCCAGAGCGCAGAAACCTCTCCCACCTGCTCTTTGCCAGAGAACCTCTGACAGATGGGGCAGCTTGAGATAGGCATTCCTGGAAGAGAGGTGCATTTGTTCGACGTATGTGACTTCTCTCTGTCTCACCAGACTGGAGCAGCCTTCCCGGCTCCGGGCCTGTTGGACGGGGTCCGAGTGAAACCTCTTTCCCCTGCACACTCAGAAACCCCAGCACCTGTGTTAGCTCCGCTGGGGGCGGGGGCACGTGGGCCTGGCAGTCCCTCCGCCCCTACCTCCACGGCGACGTTCCTCGTGCCCCGTGCGCACCAGCGTGCGGTGGAACAATTTCTGCACGTGCTCTTGAGTCGGGGGTGGGGGTGGGGTGCGTGGGAGACCCACATACGAAGCTGGAACTGCAAGGCCGGCTCCTGGAACGTGGGGGGTGTCAGGACGCGTGTGTCGCTGGGGACGCTGCCGCCGCTCGGGGAGAGGGAGCCTGTGCAGGTGCAGTGCTCGGAGAGGCGCGGGGCCTCGGCAGGGCCCCCAGCAAGTGACGGGCCTGCAGGCTCCTCCCCCTGCCCAGCGGTTGCTGCTCAGTCAGGGCCCGCTTCATGGCTGCGGTTGTTCCCGGCCGGTGCTCCACGCACGTGAGCTCTAAGGGTTGGCACTACTGTGACAGAAGAGGAAACTGAGACTCATGTCACCCAGACAGGCTTCTTCCTGGGAAGCGGGCCCTTTGAGGCACCTCTGAGGCTCTTTGAGTGACCTCACTCTCAGGAACACCCCCGTATCCCCTCACGTGACACCCCTGCCCCTTCCTGTGTTACCTGTGGGGCTGGGCCCGACTTCAAGATGATGATGATGGGAGAGAGGGATGTGGGGACCTGGCTGTCACAGGGATGCGCGGGAGGGCTCCCCACTGTGTACATGGGACAGCCAGCCTGGCAGCACCAGTGGCCTGGGACAGAGGGGAGGAAGACAGGGGCCGGGCCGTCTGGGGTCAGGACGGGGACTCCCAGAGGGAAGAGGCTGCGGTGAACCCGGAAAAGTCTGGCCTTTAGGGGGGGTGCACGGCTCTGAGGTAGGGGCCCTGGCGTTTCCCCGGGGGCCACGGAGCCTGTCGCAGAGACTGACGGAGGGGAGGGCGCTCAGCCCTGCGCCGGGGGCATCTTGTCCCTCCTCCAGTGACACCCTTGGCTTTATCTGCGAGCAAGCTTAGCGGTTTTGGCAGACACCGGGACCAGCCTGCCTTGGGAAGTGCCAGAAGTGGAAAATTTGAGTAAAAACCTTCAGGAAAATAACAATAAAATGTCCCTAAGAGTTAGAATTAATGACTTGAATATGTGTGGCTTATATTTGCAAGCTGGAAGTTAAGTTTCAAAGGGTAGCTCTCTTACAACATTCAGGAGGCTGGCTGTTTAAAAAACCGCCATTATTTCTGAAACTTTCTCTTTCAAATGGTACTGTTTTTTTTTAATGTAACTCCAAAGTAAGGAATGTGAGATGTCAGACAGGTTCTTACATGTTTTATTCCCTTTTCCACCTAGAAATGGGAATAAAAACACAAGCTGCTAAGAGGCATGGATTCGTATGAAGTTACTGGTGATGCCCCATAAAACTACCATCGTGAAATTAAAACGTGTTATTACGCAGATGTCTAGGATGTTTGCACCACAAGCAGAACCAGAACCGCTGACTGAAAATCAGTTGCCTTTGTGAAAATACAAAGTCTTTTCTCTGTGTGCACGGATTCCCTTTTATGCAAAAGTTAATCTGAAATCACTGAGATGGAATGTTCCAGAAATGGACACCAGGAACAGAGAAGCCAGTCTCTATGTTTGAGATTTAAAGAGTTTAATTCAGAGTTAGGAACTTATATGACTTTTGGAAGAGCTTGGGGGTGAGGGAGGAGGGGGTGCACCAGTGCAGAGGTCACAGAGCTGCCCCTGAAGGTCAGAGGGGCTGCCCCAAAGTTAGCGGAAGCGACAGGGAGCCCACAGTTCCAAACTGTTGGCGTAGTTTGCACACCCTTTTCTGCAACCTGGTGTCCCCCCCGGAGCCTCTGAGGTGCACTCCCCGCTTGTCTCCCTCTGCCAGGCCAAGGGCGACGCCTCCCTGACTTGCTTGGGCATTTGTATGGAAATCCTCCACCTTCCACATCCGCCCCAAGTCCTCCTCTGAAGCCCAGCAAGAGGCCTCGGGCAGTGCCAGGCTTAGCAGCAGGTCTACAGGAAGCCTACTTCTCTAAACTCTTGCAGGAAAATCAAATTTGACGCAATCACAGAACGAACATGGACCCTGGCATGAATTCGTTTGTTTCTTCCTTCATTCAACAAAATATGCTTCGAACGGGCAGGCCTCGTCCATGTGCTGGGACAGATATCGTGTAGAGATAGATTAGCACTTGCTTAGTGTAGTCGGGGAGACCCGCAGGGAAGGGGGACGGGCCCTGAGGATGGCGGACGCAGGTGGACGGGGTGGGTGGGGCTGCGGCGTGAATGGCGCCTCTGGGCAGCACGGTCACCCGGCACTGGTATTCAATGGCTCTGGCCACATGTCTGCCCACCTCCGTGAGGTCCGAAGCTCCTGGGGGACAGGAAAGGAGCCTCTGTATAATTTTATTCCTTATATGTCTTACACAGAGAGTAGACACCAAGTAAATAGCAGATGGACGAAACGTGGGCCTCAGTTCAGCACTCCGTAGCGAGTCAGGTGGGTCCAGGTAAATCGGATGGACGAAATGTTTTAGTCTGGCCTGTGAGTCTCACTCAGAGGTAGGCAAGGCTACATGGTAGCGACTGGTCATGTATCCCTCCGTTCTTAGATCCCAGTACCTGGAATCTAAGCCTTGACCTTCTGCTTCTCGGAGTTCTGATTATAGGGTGGATCCCCCCGGCCCCCCATCTAAGTACCTGAAGGGGGCAGGGTTAAAAGTAACAGAAACTAAAAAGAGAAGCACGCCAGTTAATGTATCAGACTAGTATTCCATTACACCTGGCATCTGCCCCGGAGGGTTTTCCCCTGGCAGCAGGCTGCTTTGCTGTAAAGATGCAAGAGAAAACTTAAAGCTCTCACAAATTCAGGAGAACAATTGAGGTTAAACACCTCCATCAAATGCAGTATGGACACGTGGGTAGCGTGGTTGTTTACCTCCCAGGAGAATGACCCAGCGAATGATGCTTACAGGTAGAATAAATGTAGGTTGGTTCACGGTTACCTACTGGGGAGAATGTTGAAAGCCCACAAGTTCTAAGAAGCAGTGAATTATAGCAATCATTTCTTCTTCCCTGTTGCTCACAAATGCAAATGAGATCCAGTGTCTTGCTCTTCTTTTCTATCCTATCACAACTAGAAGCAGAAATATACCAAGAGTGCAGTTTCTCATATTTTCTGGCGCTCTCTCCATAGACACATGTCCCAGATCATGTCTTCTCTCTGTGTCTGATGCTCCCCAGTAAGACACAGCCTTGGTCCCAGGACGGTTTAGGAAGACTGGGCTGTGGACTGTGCTGCTGTCTGTAAACACCCGGTCAGGTGTGGCCAGTAAGCAGGCAACCGATTCTGGGGACCTTTCTGTGGCCCTCCTGCCCCCCCCCGACCTGGCCCACCCCATCAGCAGCACATTTTGTCCCCGCCCGGGCTGCGTGCGTCCCATGATGAACAGATGCATCCCAGCCACGGCCTGAAGACGGGAAGTCTGTTTGGGGACAAGCTGTTTCTTATTCTTAGCCAGCAGCCTCCCGCTCTGTCCTCCCCCAGCCTGCTGGGGTCTGCGGATCCCTCATTGTATCTGTGAAGGGGTGGTCTTCTTTCCCCCCTTTCCGTCTCTGTGGCCGTAAATCCTCTCTCCAGTGGTGATTTATGGCGAGTCTTTGAGGAGGAGGGTCTGTCACAGCGATAGGCAGAGAAAGGTGCCCCGGAGAGCCCCGAGGGCCCCCACCCCACCAGGGCACTGTCCTCTGGCGTGGTAAGCCCTCGTTTTCTTTGATTTCTGACAGTGAAAGAAAAAGGGAACTTATTCACCCTCCCACATCTTTCTCCCCACTTCAGACCAAAGTGCATTTAATTACTTCTCAGTGTCAAATTCAGATGTGCTGATAATTATCCTGAAAAGGATCAGCTTGGACACAGGGCCCGGGGCCCAAGAGTGGGCCAGTGTGTCCTAGGGCTGCGTGCCTCCTTCAGCCACGTTGACCCATGCAATCTGTTAGTTGGCTTGACTTAATCCGTCTCTACTAGGCATGCGAGGAGAAGACAGTGAGGCGACATTTCTGGGGAATTTTAACATCCAAAAATTACGGATTGCTATGTCGGTTTTATTTTATTTCCTGTGACAACCAATTAACCAAAATATTTCCTGGGTGCCACTCCGGGCCAAGCACAGTGCCGCACGCTACCGTGAAACCCACTGCACGCCCCGAGTGGCGGAGCGCACACAGTTGCCTGGGAGACCCCTCGTCTGCCACGCCTGAGGGGACCCACCCTCCTCCTGTGTCGGCAGCTTTGTGTCCAGAGCACGGTGAGCAGCTTGGGGGCTATTGCACGGGATGGAGGAGTGATCTTCCTTCGAGCAGATTAAACACGAGAAGCTGGATATCAGATTAGAATGACCGTGAACAGACACAGAACCGGCACCAAGTTTCGAGTGGAAGGCATCAACAGCGGCAACGTGGGAGAGCTGCCCGCTGATAAGGCCTCAGGGCTGCCTGTCCAGTGGCCCCCAGAGACGGCACTTCCGTCATGAACCTGTGACAAGCTGACCTTGCAGGATCACACAGTTGGCTTTCTCACTGTGCTGGAAACGGTGCTTCTATAGGAGCTGACTCGTCGGTCAGGCACACGGAGACCGACGGACTACCACAACGTGGGTTTGCTCATTCGGACGCAGACATCCCTGGTTAAGAGACTGGCTGCAGAGATTCCGAGTCCAGCGCTGGGTTGGCATGTGTTCTTCTTGTAGGTACATCCACGTTGGTGTGTGGCGCAGATAATAACCAGTGAGTCGAAGCCGCTCGAAGTCACTTTTTTTGTTACTTTGTAACCAGATGATGTTTCTTGCTCTTTGACTCCAGAACTGTTTCTTGTGGATCCTTTCCACATGAGTTTTAGGATCAGCTTGACAAATTAAAAACATGTATTTTTGAGGGAAAGAAAAGAAAACTATCATGTTTTCTTATTTGAGTTGCATGGAATTTAGAAATTCATCTAGGGAAAATGAATGTATTTCTGATGTTGTGTATTTCTATGAACATTTTATATTCATAAAATTTTATATTTATATATAGATCTGAATATATTTTTAAAATCAGGGTCTACTTCATGTTCTTTACTGAAGTTTTAAAAATTTCTCATGGAGGTCTTGCTCATCTTTTTTGAAATTTATTACAAAGTTTTAAGTCTAGTGATTTTGAAGAGTTATGTCTTCACTATTTATTATTGATTTATAAGGAATAAAATAGATTTTTGTACACTGTACAAAAGTAACTTTGCTAATGTGTTAGTTCTAATAGTATATTCTGTATCAGTTGGATAGTGTGTGCGTTCTCTTGAACATAGACTTTTCTGAGTAGATACTCATCATTCACAAGCCAGGACAATTTCTTTCCTTTTTTGTTGTGGAAGGACCTAGCCATGCGGTCCCTCACGTTTCCAGCCCTTTTCAGCTAAGGCAATGTGGCTCGTGTCTGTGTTTTCAAATTTAGTTTTCATAGGTTTCTCTTTAGATCAGAAAATCTCCACCGTGTCTGTGATGTCCTGTCTTCACGTCTTCCTGATCCCGGACAGTGAAGGCTTCCTTCCCTGCCTGTGGCCCCTTCCCATGACTCGGTGCTGTTTGCTTCCAAAGAGGTCGCCTTCCAACTGTGTTCTGGCCCTTGGTTCCCTTCTCCCACCGATCACACACAAAAACAGCAAAACTCCGAGTTTCCTTGAATGAATGGGACTGTGGCCTCGCCGACTGGACACTCAAGACTGACCGTCCCAAGTGTGTTCTGCGGGAGAGTCTGGAGGACATTATGTTCCCCAGAGCAGTTGGCTGTGCCCCAGCCTGGGGGCCTGAGTGTTGCTGAGAAGCTGGTGTGTCTCCTCTGCTGGAGAAGCTCAGTGACAGGGGACGGCCTTGCAGAGCTGGACTGCCTCAAAGTGGTGAGGACACCAGAGACCGAGGGGTGGTGGAGAGCAAACCGAGAGCAAGGGGGTTGCAAGTCCGGCAGGGCGGCCACGTCGGGGTGGCCTTCACCCACAAAGTAGGGGTGGTGGCAAACGCCACAGGGCCTCCCCGGGGCAACTCGGATGGGTTCATTTCACTTAACATGAAGCTTTCAAGGTTCATCCATGTGGTAGCAAGTATCAGAATTTTCTTTTTTCACGGCTGAATAATATTCCATTATCTGTAGACGAAATTATCTGTAGGTACCCATTTTATTGATTGATTCCTATGTTGGTAGACACTCGGGTTGTTTTCACCGCTTGGCTGTTGTTAACGCTGCCACCAACAGTGGTGTACAAACACCTGTCTGAACGCTCACTTTCAGCCCTTCGGGCTTACACCTGGGAGTGGAACTGCCTGGCCGTGTGCGGATTCTAGGCTCGACTCTTTGAGGAGCTAACTGGTTCCTGCAGCGGCTGTGCTGGGTCCTCTAAGACCTAGCTTTCAGTGAGCTGCTCGTGCTTCTGGTCACCGCGGGGCTGATATCTCGGTCAGGTCCTTGGTGCCTTCAAATCCAACCAAGTCAGACCACCAGTCTCAGACTTCTGTTCCCCTCAGTCTGCAAAGCCACGCCTGTCACCAAGCACTTTATCCACCGGGATGCGCTCTTATCAGGCTCAGCAGATGCTAGGAGTTTAGAGACTCTTCAGGAGGGTCAGAGACCCAGGCTTGCGTGTTTGCTACACAGCTCAGAACAGGGCAGCCTCAGGACACACGTCAGCCCGACATAGGAATGTTCTGAAGAAAACTCTTCTGTCATTCGGAACCTGGAACTATAGAAACCGGACTCTAGAAACAACTGCCCTGGAAGAATTGGACATCATTTCTTTCCAGGAGACCTGAGCTCCCTCTGCATGTCCACCACCCACACTGCTCACTTCCAGCTTTGAGTTTGGAGTGGGTCTGTCTGCTTGGCAGAAGCTAGATCTCACAGGACCCCCAAGCTGCAAGGGAGTCTGGGAAATGGGGCTTTCCGCTTCTAGGCCTCTGTAGCACAGGAAGTCACGCCACAAGGAGGTAGTGTCAGTGCCAGGGTGCTCGACATACAGCTACAGTTTGCACGTGTCGGAGGAGCGCGTGCCTCCACCGTTTTCTCCCTTTGACGAAACTCAGCAGATGTCTCAGGCTGCACAGGTGAGCATCGAGGAGGCCGACATCACCGTGCGCCCCTTTCTTCAAGACTGGGGACTCTGGAGGGAGAGTGGAGCTATGTCAAGGTGCATCAAAATATAAACATAGAAAGCAGATGTGTCACACGTCACAGGGAGGAAGGAAAAGGAGTCAATATTTACAAAACAGAGACTCATGGTTCCCCCCCCCCCCCGCAATCTTCTAAGGTCTGAGGATGGCAGATCCAAGAATAACAAAGAACAGGAACTAGAAAAATGAACTGCAGTTTCTCTTCATCTTCATTCATATCTGAATCCTCTGTTCTTAGGTTTTTAAATAAAAACAGCAGTAGGAACTTCACTGAGGGCTAAGACTGGAAACAATTCAAGTGGTTATACTTTATTGAAAACAAGATTTCACTTTTCAGGTTCTAATAAACACAATTAAAAGTAATATAATGATAATCATGAATGAGTGATAACTGTGGGGGGGGTGATAACATCCTACATCAGATAGTAATTAATTTGAGGTCAAGTTCCCATCCGCTACATCTACAAAGTTAGAATCGTAACATCAGGAAAAGGAACTTAGAAGCCAGTCTAATTGATTCGTCTTCGATCATCCATTTCTGGGGACAGAGAACAGATTCCCCCTTTGGATATCCGATGAGAAATGCATTTGGTTTCCTGTAAGTTTTTCTAAGCGAAGTTTCATTGTGATTCGGTGACTACCATTTTCTAACTTCTCACTGCCACAGGCGGCAAACACAAGGCGGCCCCTGGTGACAATGAGTTTGACACCCCTGGCCTCTGCAGTCTCCTATTTATTAATGCAGTTACGAATTTATTAAACGGAATAGGCGTGAAACAATTTTTAAAAACCACTTTCCACGTGTCATATGTCTTCTACTTGCAGTCAAACTTAAACTTGTTAAGAGGATTAGCACCTGGGGGAGTTCGCAGCCTTCCCACTGAAGCCCCACTTGGTACTCGGTTAAACAACGGAGAAGTTTTCAAATCCCGAAGAAAGTAAAAATCCATACCCGTGTTTTATTCTAGTGCATTGTATACTGAAGATGAAGAAGCAGGGGAAGCGGAATGGTTGTTTATAAGGTTGATTTGCACCGACTTACCTGTTACTGAGAGAAGCATGAACTGCACTCATAGCAAAACCCAAAATAAACTCAGTGACGTAACGATCAACTCCTGGCAGAGTTACCTCTTCCCACTGGGGCAGCATACCAGGCAAGATTCCTTTGGATTGAAAATGACAGGAAATCTTTAAACTGGTTCATTCACAGAAGGAGTTTATTGGCTCACGGAACTGAGAAGGGGGACTGACTCAGACGTGGGCGAACCCAGGCGTGGACACGCTCTGTTAACAACCTCTCGGTCTGAGTCTCTCTCTTGCCTTTGGCCAGCTCTTCTCCATTGAAGATGGTCATGGTCAAGCACAGCTTTATGTCCACATGCCACCATTTAATCAATTCCATTAGAAAATAAAGAGTCCCTCTTTTCTAATAATTTCAGCAAAAGACTTTCATGAGCTCAACTCGGTTCTCATGCCTGTTCCTGGAACTCTTCACATTGGCCTGAGAAGTCGAACAGGCTGGTGCGCCAGTAGGAACAGGAGACAGGAAGGGCGGCGTATGACCTTGAAAGGCCAGGGCCCCCGGCTGGTGGCCTGCAGCCCTGGCCGCCCGCTGCACAAGACTGCTGCTCTGCTGCTGGGCGTGGGCTTCGTGCGCCCAGTGGAAGGGCTGCGCTCTTCTCATTTCTGCGGACGTATCCTAGGGACCAGCCAGGCCCTGGAGCCACGGAGGTGAACCAGCTGCGCTGCGAGTGGGGGAGGGTGGTCCTCTGGCTGAAGATCAGGTAGTATTTGTGCACTAAGGTAAAATGGAGCCTGGGCAGGGAGATCGGCCAGCTGTATGCTCCTGAAGTGTCACAACGCTGAGCTCTTAGTGCAGTTCTGAGTGTTTGTCTTGTAGAGCCAACGCAACTCAACATAAGCCAATTCAACTCAGCTCAATGCAATGCGACAGTTATTGGTCCCTTATTACCCACCGAAAAGTGTGTGTGCGCGCGCATGTGTGTGTGTGTTGGTACAGATAGATAAGGAGGCACTATGAAATCATGTAAAATCAAAGATGATACAGTGTAAATATTTCTTTAGTTGCTTTTTAGCAAAACAATCTGTGTTTAAGTGAATTACACATCTATTATATGTTCAAATATGATTATACTCTGTTAAACTTACTAAATTAAGGAACTTTAAAATAAATATTTACTTCATCCTATTTTTTACATCATAGCAATTCTTATTCCTAACAGTCTGGAATAGCGACCAAATATGCATCCTGTAGAAAGGCATCTTAGGTTTTCAGGTGACCTTTAAATACCATTGACTTTTATTCTGAAGTTATTGCTGGTAACTCATAGTTTGCTTAAAAACTGAATTAGCCTCTTATTTCTGTCAAGAAAATAATACCCTTATTCCTCCATTTAGTAGAGGAATTTCAACAGTGCGTGCCTTCCTTGACTTTAAGCTTTGGGGAAAGTGGAAAACAAACAGCACGTTGCTATTATTTATACAAAGTCAGACAAGGGGCCAGGCCAGGGGAGCAGCCCCCCAGTGCCGATGGGATTGGTTTCCACTTAAGCACTTACCGTGTCAGCCAGACCTTCCTGCTAAATTCAAACTCTCCAGCACCTGAAAAATTTTGTTTGGTTCTTCCTGGATAAAAGGAAGAGAACAAGATTTAAGTGAGTAAATACTTAAAGTTAAGTGAGTAAATACTTAAGGGGTAAAAAAAACTAACCTCCATGGTGGAACTTTGGAATTTTTCTGTTTGTTTTAAGCTCAGAAGCCCAGCGAATGTTTCTGCTCCTTGGCCAGCAGTGGGAAACCTGCTTGGAAAGCCGGAGACACCTCGGTAGGTCAGCGGGGGAGAGTGAGGGTAACGACCACGCTGACAGGGTAGTGATTTGCAGAAATTAAAGCCACGACCGAGCTGGTGGGCCAGGCCGGCGGAGATTCTGCGGACCGGCAGGCTGGGCGCACCGCGGGGCGCGGCCAGGGCACCAGGAGTGGGCGCCCGGGTGAGGCCGCCCTATTTGCATTTCAATGAGCCTCGCTGGTTGACTCTGTGCCCAGCGCTTCCGCAGCTCCCCCAGAGTCTGCCTTTGTTGGTTTTCGCTCCGGTCAAGTCCACTTCTGGCCACCGGGGAGCGGCGCGCATTGAGCGCGTGCAGCCAGGCGGAACAGCTGCAGGAAGGAAGGAAGGAGGAAGGGGCTCCCGCGGCCATTGTTTGGGCCGAGCGACTGTTTAATCTGTAAGGTGAACTTGAATCCCTCGCAAATCCTCTCAGTGTGGCGCGGGGGCACCCAGACAGGGACAGATGGTGCAGAACCCCTTTTGTTTCAGAATATGGAAATGCGCCTTTCCATTGACTTACGGTAGTCCGGTCTTTTAACTGTTGCTCTTGCCCCCTGGCCCATTGTCCCGGAGAGTCCCGGAGAGACCCCGAGACGTCGGTGGATCTGGTAGCCCTGCCCGTGTGACTCCGCAGTTTTAAATGTGATTACTGGAAGTGAGTCTGCTCTGTTTGGTGAGCCATCATTGCCGTGGGGACTCCATCTGGGCTTAAGGTGCAGTCGGGGAATTGCTGTACGTTCCACAAGATCTCCTTTTCATTGGCCCCTGAGTTCCTTTTCCACATTAAACATCAAGTTCAGAGGTTTTGGATGCTTCTGGTGCAAAAGGAAAGCGCCCATCCTCAGAGTCCCTTGCTGCTTTGGTGCGAAGGACCCCCCCCTCCCCCCTTGCTCCATCCCATTCTCATAAAAGGCGGCTCCCACCCAGGCTGCACCCGTGTTCCTATGGCCACAGCTGTGGTTTACAGAATGCCCCACAGCAGGGTGGGGGATGTCCACGTGTGCTTGTGGTACCGGAGCCCCTGAACAAGCTTCTCAAGATGCATTTTCCTGCTTATCCTGCAATATGCAGGACTCCGCTTTCCCTGGGGCTGAGGGCGTCGGGAATCCTGGGACACACCCCAGCTCAGTCCGAAACAAGGCCGACCGACTGTCCTCATACACGGCCTGTTTTTCTTGCCCCAGCTTTTGTGCAAACCTTGGCAGTCAGGGTCCTGTTGGCCTCTTCCAGTCTCAAAGGAAAAATCTGATTGGACAACCATCTGATAACAATCAGACAATTTTCCATTTTCAGCACAGATTACACAGGAAGCAGATTATTGTCTTGTGGTTTTGAATCTATTTAGAAAATAGATTGTCGAAGTATTTTAATCTTGAGGCATTTAAACCTTGGGAATGTTAATACATTTATATAAAGAGACAGAGACGTCTGTTGGGTCTCTAATTCCAATGCAAACGTTTGATTGCATTAAATGCTCACACTGCGTTTCTAGTTTTCTCAAAAGGCACCATCTCTTACCTGCCTCGTGGCCACAGATGCCTTGCCCTCATGGTGTCCTGACATGCGCTTTCTAAGAACATACACAACACACGTGACCCCAGGGCTGGTGAACTGAGGTCTACCTGGGCTACCACCGAGAGGCCTTCTAAGTGGCCAAGAGCGAGGGTCTTCTGTTTCTTATCCAAGGACATTCTTCCATCGCAGCCCCAAGTCCATGAGCTGATCCGTAACCATAAATTCCTGTCTCCTTTCCGTCCAGTCAGTTGGCCATTGCAGAGCAGAAGGGAGCCGGAACCAGGTGTCAGCCAGCAGAAGTAGCTTACAAGCTATTTTCTTTTTCATTTACTTGCTTATTTATGATTTTTTTGGCAGAGAAATCTAAGCTAATTTCAAGGGATTGTTATGCATTAGGATTCAATGCATAATGTGGAGGTGGGCAGTGCTTTACACGTATCTGTGTTCATGTGTCCAGTGAACACAGTTGTTCAGAAATTCAACAGTGAGAGCCAGCTTTGCTTGGAGTTTTTTACCTTTTACAGGGTTCCCTTCCAAATGGTGAAAAATGGAATACAGCTTATTATTATTTTTCTTCTTCCGTGGGCAGGTGTGAGCTTGAGTAATTTCAGTTTCTTGGCTTTCTTTTGATTTCATATAATGAGGCTTTTGTTGAAATTCATTCCAGGGATGGTCTCTCTCGCTCTCTGATTCTGATTAAACCGTGAAACCCCATACACTCACTGAGAGTTGTCACTTTGCTCCGCTTGGTGAGTGAGTTTCGGTGAGTGAGTTTCGGTGACGAGGCCGGGAGCCGCAGACCCCCTGCAGCGCTGGGCTGCGGTTGAAAGGAAACTGCCCCCTCCAGCAGAGCCTTGGGGTTTTAGTGGGACCACAGCCTCATGTTCACTCGTGGTGAGTAAATGGGGCTTGTTCTCCAGCTCAGGGCGTGAGGTTGGCAGCACCCCTTTCTGTTGGGTGAAGTCTCACAATGCTCCTCGGGCCAGTGTGCTATGTGGGACCGACCCGGGCCTCTCTTAGAGGTCAGAGAACAGGACTGCATTTCCGCAGGGACGGCCACTTCAGCACTGACCCGTGCGTGGGTGGGAGAGGGTTTGGCTGGCCGGGACTCCGATTCAGAGGCTTCAGCGACAGACTCGGTTCCTAGAAGACCCTCATGTCTGGATTGAAAGTATAGGAATTAAACTGTTATTGTTAATTTCTGCATTGCTCAGCTTTGTCCAAAATGTGAATAATCATGGTGGTCTTCCACAGCAGAAAGAGGGTTGTTTGGAAGTGTGCACCCAGACCGGCTTTCAGGTGTGGGCTGCTTTTGGGGACGTTCTCTAGGTCAGAACTGGTTTTCCCAGACGCAGGACAGATTCCCGGTTGCTGAGTGTAAAGAGTCCCGTTGTCTCTCACGTGACCTCTGTCCTCCTCGGAGAGCCCCTCCTTTGGCCCCGCCCCCCCATGGGCCCGTTCCTCGTCTTCTTCACAGGCTCCGCCCCTTTGCTAACCCCTTAATTTGTGCTTTCTCAGGGGTTCTGTCTTTGGTTCTTGTCTCTTTTGTGTATTACCCCTCGGTGAGATTTCTCAGAGATCTTTCTGGAATGCACTGTGTACCCTCTTACCTCATGACTTTCGCATATACAGTTTTCTCTGCTTAGAATGTCCTTTTTCCAAACATGGGGACACCTGGCTTTTTTCTTTTTCACTGCTGTACTCAAACATCACTTTTCAAATGAATCCTTCCCTGGCTGTCCACAGAAGATAAATAGTCAGGACAAGGACCGGGGTGAAGCAATTAAGATGGCCCAGGCATAAAACCGAAGGGAGCAAGTTCAAGGTCAGCAGGAGAGAATGCGTGCCTCTGTACCTTTGGTACCTGACCACCTCGCTATGACACTTTCGCCAGCCCTGCACCTGTGCTCGGTCCTTCTTATTTTTCTCCACAGACACTGTCATAACTAACATGCGTAACTGACAGTTGCATATCTCCCCCCTCACCCCACTCACACCATTAGAATGGGGGGCCCCTGTCTGTTTGGGGGTTTGCTGTAGGCCCAGAGCCTAGGTCAGAGTTCGGGATATAGTGGGTATTCATTCTCTCTCTCTGTATATATATACATACAACATACACACATACATACATGACGTATAAATGACTACCACTCATAATCTTGATGACTCTCAAGTGCACAAAAAACAGGTTTGTAAATGAACTTGGTCTCTTGGATGTTCCACAACGTTTCAGACTCAGTGTGTCCAAAATTGCATTCATCGCCTTACACTCCCAACCCCACCTCCCACTTGAATTCTCTTTTCTGATGAGTGAGACCCCCGTCCGGCTCAGATTCCAATGTGAAGGTGCGCTAGCTCAGGCCGTGTCCCTCCCTGACCCCGCTGTCATGCGGCCGCCACCCTCCAGGGTGACCCCCCCGGTGGACAGTGGGTCCTTTGCTGCTCCAGACTCCAGCCCCATCCCTGGGAAGTGGGCGCTCTGAGCCACAGGTCAGGTCACGCGCTTCCCACTCTTGGAATTCTTCCTCGGCGCCCCGTAGGCCTGAAGGCACAATTGGAAGTGCAAGGACCAGAAAGACGCTCTACAGTCTGTCTGCCAACTCCCCGGGCTCCCTGTGTCCGGCTGCACCTCCCCTGTCTTCCACTTCTCACATGGCCACCCCCAACCCCCACACTTTGTGCTCCAGTGACAGCTTGGGAGTGATCTGTCCTCTGAAACGCTGCCCCCCCCCGTCACCTGGCAACAATACGCCTACCCTTTAACCTCAGTGGCATGGGCAGTGGGAACTCTCCTCTGCCGGTCAGGAACAGGGCTCTGACCCATTCAACCTGCATTTCCTTCAAGTGAGACCCAAACAGTCCTGAATAATATATATTTTACTCGGGAAAAAATACATCTTTTTTTAAAAAGATTTTATCTATTTATCTTTAGAGGGGAAGGGAAGGAGAGAGGGAGAGAAACATCAATGTATGGTTGCCTTTCGTGCGTCCCCTGCTGGGAACTGGCCTGCAACCCAGGCATGTGCCCTGACTGGGAATCGAACCGCGATTGTCTGGTTCGCAGGCCCACGTTCAATCCACTGAGCTACACCAGCCAGGTAGGAAAAAATACATCTTTAGTCTGGTTTGAACATTTATTTTGTGGAACCTTCTAAATAACCATGAATTGCATGCAAACCTTTCAGGCATTTTCCATGATTGATTCTCTCTTGTTTAACATAAGGTGCTGAACTGATTATGAAGGCCGGTCGTGTCCCCGGGTGCCCTGGGCTCAGTGTCCATGGTGTCCTCAGCCTTTCCCAGCTCCTTGTTTGTGTCATGGGATGAAAATCACAGTTCTTTTGCTTTTACCTTGCTTAATTTAAATCCTCAGTGTCCTCCCATCCCTTCCCCCAGGAACAGAGTCTAAACTTTCTCATTTAAGGGAAGGGGTTGAGGAGCCCTTGGGGCAGAGATTTCATTCCATAGCTGTGAAGTTGGGAGCAGGGCGATGATTTGGTTCACTGATTTCTTTTTCTTTCCACTTCTCGAGCCCCTGATCCCTATCTGCTGGGGGAGCAGTTAGTAACTTTTCCTCATATCCTCTGGCTTTCACTCGGTCAGGGCTCAGGTGATCTGAT